TGAGCATGTTTTCATATGTCTCTTGGCTTTCTGAATGTCCTCTTTTGAAAGGTGTCTATTTAGGTCCTTTGCCCATTTTTTGATTGGATTGTTTAACTTCCTTTTGTTAAGTTGTATGAGTTCCCTATAAATGTTGGAGATTAAACCCTTATCAGTGATAACATTGGCAAATATGTTCTCCCATGCAGTGGGCTTTCTTGTTGTTTTGTTGAGAAAGTTTGTAATTTTTTGAAGGAAAAGAGAACCTTGAAAACAAGTAACACTGATAAATATCATTTCTGGCCATGTCTCAATTCCTTTATCTTCTCAGATAGCCATCTGTGGTCAAATACTACACTCTCCCTCCCTATTTACACATCTTATCCTTTATCTCTCCAGCCATTTTACTGCATCTCCCTTATTCCCACAGTTTGAAACTAAATAATTCATGTGTGCATTTCAAATATGTTTTCATTGATTTTTTTTAAAGAGAGAGAGAGGGGAATGGGGGCGTGGAGAGAGAGAGAAACATCGATCAGTTGCCTTCTGCATGCACCCTGATCAGGGATCGAACACACAACCTGGGCATGTGCCCTGACCGGAATCAAACCCAAGACCTACCAGTGCATGGGACAATGGTCAACCACTGAGCAATACCAGCCAGGCTCACTTAGACTCTTGTCAGGTTCTTCTTCCTGGGACTGACTAAAAGCATGGTCAGCTAGCTGGATTCATAAAATCTGTCAGTTTGACAGACTAGGAGTAAAAAATCAGGGCATGAGTTCAAAAGAAAAATGTTAGAATAATTTTTATGAAAATAGACCTGAAATAGAAAAAATATAAGCACTGGTGGCATTAGGATGTGGATCAGAAGGCGAGAGAGTGTAAAGTCAGCAAAAGTTATGTGAACCAAGACCTACCAGTGCATGGGACAATGGTCAACCACTGAGCAATACCAGCCAGGCTCACTTAGACTCTTGTCAGGTTCTTCTTCCTGGGACTGACTAAAAGCATGGTCAGCTAGCTGGATTCATAAAATCTGTCAGTTTGACAGACTAGGAGTAAAAAATCAGGGCATGAGTTCAAAAGAAAAATGTTAGAATAATTTTTATGAAAATAGACCTGAAATAGAAAAAATATAAGCACTGGTGGCATTAGGATGTGGATCAGAAGGCGAGAGAGTGTAAAGTCAGCAAAAGTTATGTGAACATGGTCGGATAACACTGGGGCCAGATTAGGGATTCACTAGTGAACTTTCCATCCCCACCAACATTGAAAATAGGCAAGAACAGACTCATTTTGCTGCTTCTGGTCATAACTGCTTTCATGAGGCTGTGCTCCCATGATACACATGTAGTGCACACCTGCAATACAGAACACAGTGACTGCTGTGTAGTGAGCAACTGGGCTAATTAATTCAAGTGTTTATTATCTATCAATATTCGAAAATTTAAATGGTCATGCTAACTTCTAGCACACAAGTAGTTGTGAAATTAAATAGCATAATATAGAGGGTGTTTGGTAAGGTGATTGTCAAGAAATGGATGCTCCTTAAATGGATATAATTACCATTCACAATATCTACTCCTGAATGGATGGTGATTCTGGGGGGAGGGAGGAATCAGGGTCTAAGTCAAAAGAAACTTGAAACAATTTTTATTCAATCATTTAATAGCTTCATTTTATTTACTTCAAAACTTCAGCTCTATTGCGCCATTTGCTGAGCTTCCTAAGAGATTAAAATCCTGCCTTATGAACCACTGAAGTGTTGTTTTTGCTTTTGCAAACACATTTTTCCTCAGACTTTGTGCTCACAAATTCTTAATTAAGATCCAAGTCAGCCAAAACCGGTTTGGTTCAGTGGATAGAGCATCAGCCTGCGGACTGAAGGGTCCCAAGTTCAATTCCTGTCAAGAGCATGTACCTGGGTTGTGGGCACATCCCCAGTAGGAGATGTGCAGGAGGCAGCGGATCAATGTTTCTCTCTCATCGATGTTTCTAACTCTCTATCTCTTTTCTT